ACAGTGGTTAAGCTCCTGGCTGCTAACCAAACTGAACCCACGGGCCCCTCCCCAAGAATAAGATGTAACTGTCTGCTTCCTTAAAGGTCACAGCTTGGGAACCCTATGGAGCAGCCCTGCCCTGTGCTATAGGGTCTGAGAGGGAACTGACTCTGTGGGACCCTATGGAGCAACCCTGCCCTGTGCTATAGGGTCTGAGAGGGAACTCTGTGGGACCCTATGGAGCAGCCCTGCCCTGTGCTATAGGGTCTGAGAGGGAAACGACTCATGGCAGTAGGTTTGGTAGGTTTATCACTTTGGCTTCTTGTCTGCGGCCCATGGCCACTAGCCTCCTCAGCTGGTGTACATGGAGGGGGTGGGGTGTGGTCAGGTCGCTTGTAGCCCCAACATGGTGGCACTGGGCCTGAGAGAGGGGAGGAGAGGTAGGATTCAGCTGTCTTGTGTCCCTGCTATGTGGCATGCTGGACATTACCTCTCTCCTAACCTGGCCACATTGCCGGCCTAGCCCAGAAGCATATTGTATGGACAAGTATATGCTGAGGTCACCGCCACCGAAGGACTGCCCTCAGGTCCGAGGTTGTTGAATCTTCATTGATAACAGGCATTCTGACAGTTCATTTCTCTACAAGGAAGCTACTTCACAACCAACATGTCTCCAACTCCATTCAGACCACTGTGGCCAAAAATTGTGGAACCTCGCTCCCAGCTGTCACTAAAACAAGATCTCATGTTTATTATAGATAGTATCTGAAATTGTCATTGTTGTTGTTAAGTGCCATGGAGTCGGTTCCGACCCATACATATAATAGGGTTTCCAAGGAGCAGCTGGTAAGCTTGAACCGCCAGCCTTGCAGTTCAAACAACTTTGCAGTTTGGGGCATTAATCCACAGCGCCACACAAGACAAGAAAACACACCCAGAAATCAGAGCTACTGCCATCCAGTTAGTTCAGACTCAGGCGACCCTATCTAGGGTTTCAGAGAACATAAATCTTGATGGGAGCAGGCAACCTCGTTTTTCTCCCAGAGCGGCTGCTGGGTTTGAACCGCCGACCTTGCAGTTAACAGCCCAACAGCTGCATTATAGCTGGCGTAACAGAAAAGTTAAACCAAAATGATTCATTGAAACACAGTCGGTCCCTGCCGGTAAACGACATAGCTTTTCTCTCCAAAACAGCGAAGGGCTCGGACGGAGCCAGACGACCCGCAGGCAGCATCTTCTCACTGCCAAGGCTGGGGGTTAGACGGTTCCCGCGGACCCGGCCTTCCCTCCCCGCCCTGAGAGAGTTACTGGTGTCCAGAGCTGGGCAGCCCCTCCCGCCCGCCGGTCCTGGTACCGGGTCCCACGCTCAGCAGTGTCTCCCTAACTGGGTGCAGTGCTACCAGGGCTCCTCCTGCGCAGCAATCCACGTGGCACTGGCCTCGCCCCCCGCTTGGCGCCTGGAGGTGGGTGTGGAGGGTGGGCGGGGACAGGTGGGGTCCTCGGTCCACGCTCTGAGTGACTCAGGTCCTACTCTTGCTTCCAGGGAACTGACAACCCGCCCGCTCGGCACCATGCCGCTCCCGCCTCCGGCTCCGCGCGCCAAGAAGTTGCGGCACCCAGAGAGGTCACCCGAGGCGCTGCTCTCGGGTTCCTGGGCCTCGGCCCCCAGCAGGACGCCCCCCAGCCCGGCCACACCTCGTCTCCCGTCCCGGGCCGCGGCCTCTCGCCCGAATCTCCCGGTTCGCTGCGCCCCTTCGGGGCGCGCTCCCTTCAGCTACAGCCTGGTGCCTGGGACTTCGCGCACGGGCACCGTCCCAGGACCGGGGACTCGGGCCGCGGCACGTCTCGCCCGGAGCCTGCCTTCTGAGACCATGCTGCTTCTCCGCCGGCGCCACTTGGAGCCCCAGCCTCCGCCCGCCAGTCCCCGGGCGCGCCTGCCCTCTGGAGAGCCGCGCGCCGCGCTGCGGGTGTCGCTCCTGAACCAGCCACACCAGTACGACGACGCAGAGGATGGGGCCGAGGCGCCGGTGGCCGACGAGGATCTGGTGCGTAAGTGCACCGAGTGGCTGCGCGGCCTGGAGACAGCGGCTTCGCGCACCCGCGAGACGGCGGCCTCGCGCTCCCGCGCCCGCAGGCTGGACGCGCTGCCGCACCCGGGCACGCTGTGAGCGCCCCTGGGCGCACCCGGCCCTCCCTCCCCGCTCCCGCTCGCCCCTGCGCGCCCGGCCCGGCTCTTAGCACGTCTCACCAGCCTCCAGGAGCCCGGGCTGGGGCTGGGGGTCTGCCGCTACTCCCGCCCATACTGGCCAAGCTGGCCCGCCCCTCGGTGCGCGCGGGGAGCTCTGCGGGGTTGTGTGTCTCCCGACTCGGAAAGCCGGGGAATTCCTCACTCCATGTGCCAGAGAACGGTCACCAGGAACTAGGGGAACCTGGTAACAGAACTCGAACGGAAACGTTGCGCCTTTGCGGCAAGACTGGCCCGTTCCGAAGTGGTCCGGAGCCCCGCGCTCCGCCAGGTCCGCTCCCCCGCGCGCACAACACAAACACTCACGCGCGCGCACGTCCTCTCTGAAGGACAGTGGCGGGAGTTGTGTTCAGTCGCTGGACTAAGGCACAAGGTCAGTGTTTGTGCAAATTCTGGTGTTTATCTGCATGGTCACCAACTCTCTTGTATCCCAGCAAGAAAGGGAGAGAGGGGATAGAGAGAGCTGCCCCCGACGTAGGACATACCGACAGTGTTTTTGTAATCACTGTACACGGATGACACAGTGCTTTAGTAAGGTTTCTACAGCGATTTTAAAAAAAAAAATTTTTTTTTTCCATTATGGGCAACAATGGCAAAACGCCCCCCCTCAACTGTCGGCTGGTTTCCAGGTATTTCTTGTCTTCTCCTGAGCACTTCTAACTCTGAAGCTGAGAAGGAAATAAAACGTAGCACAAGGCCGGCTGTAGATGAGTAGTGTACCGCCTCCATTTGACCTGGGTTGCGAAATTTAAGAACTAATTTAATGTTTATCTTGTTAGATGCTAATGTGCCAAGTCTGAATTTTATCTTAAATCGGAGCCTTACATTTATAGTTGAGAAAACGTATAGGGTTTCTTGTGGAGACGTTGGTTCTAATCTCTCTTTTAAGTGTCAGATTCAAATTCCATTGACATGGAATTGTTGATCAAGGAGGCGCTGAATCAGCCACTAGTTGCCCCAGCAAAATCCCTGCCCACTTTCGCTTTTCTGACCTCTTTCCGTATGCAGAAGAAGAGACTTAAAAATCTAAAATGAATATACTAATATCAGAAAGGGAAGTTGAGCATTGCGTGCAGACTTGAAATGAAGACCTGTGTCTACCTAAATGCTCAGTACGGTCCCTCCACCGCCATGACGTGTGTTCCCCGTGTTGTCATGGAGAAGGACTTGTTCTGGAGAGTAACCAGCTGACTGAAAGGGAATTCGTTCAAGCTGGGACCTAATGCAGAGATTTGCTTCCCGTTATGACTGGGTCTCATGTGACAGTTAGACAAATACCAGTCCTTAAGATGCCAGCGTCTGCCCATGGTTACTAGGACACCACCACAACTTTTGAAAGGATTTCTGGGTAGCAAATGGTCTCCCAGTCCTGAGTGTGTTGTTTATGGAGTGTGGGTCTCTTTCCCTTGTCTGTCTGACCCTCAGTATTTTTTGAACCTTCTGTTCCTTAGCCCAGTCTTTCTCTCTAGGGCCCCTCCCTGCTTTGTGTGGCTTGCTACACGAGAATGCAGCAACCCCTCCCCCCACCTCAGTTTGCTTTGATTCACTCAAATTGTGTGGGCATTGTTCTATTTAAAGGCAGATTCATGGCGGGTGTATCTTGCCCTGGTTCTTTACTGCCAATAAAAACTACAGGAGTTAATGTACATGGTGAATGTTTTCCTGGCCCTGTTCCCCAGTTTCTTCACATTTAAATTAAAGAGAATTTTGGAGGACATTGAAAATCGGTCAAGACGAGATCTGGAGGGGAGTAATGCCACACTCACAAACACACTCACCACACTGTGCTCATACTCACCACCACTCACTACCACGTGAGCTCCACTCTTGTGCCCACCAGCACACACACACCACACTCACCACCATGCTCCATCTTCCCCCTGTGTATTTCAGTCCTTCTTCCAACACTGGACCGGACACTGCTCTGTTGTGAGCTGCCCAGTGGCTGATGTTTGGACCTAGGATACCAGGCTGTGCCAGGTCCTGCTGTTGGCTCTCACCACGTCCCCACTTCCAGCCTTCACTCCTCTGGGGGCTGGAAGCATGCACATTGCATTTCCCAGTCTCCACTCCACTCAGCCCCTGACCCACGGGATCTGCCAAGGAGACCCTCAGGAAGGGAAGTGGGGAGCAAGGGGCAGGGCAGGGGGCAGACAGGAGGACATTGGCTCCACCTGTCCCCTCACCTCAGGGCTGATACAGTCTCCTGCACATCCCTGTTTGCTTCCCCAGCCCCCAAACACGTTTGAAACCAGCATGTTGCATCAGCTTCCTTGCTGGTCGGATCTGGGGTGCTCCTTGCTTGTAACAGGCATTAACCACCATCCAGGGTTGTCATAGAACCTAGGTGTCCAACTTAGCACCCCCTTCCTGAGGGAAGTGGCCTCTCGGCCCCACACCCTTCTTTGGCTGACTTTTCGTTGATGGTTTGTAACTTGGGAGACCACAGGTGTGACACACTGGAACATCCCCATAAGCTTCTTGGCTGAAGGACAGTGGCAGGAGTTGTGTTTAGTCGCTGGACTGAGGCACAAGGTCAGTGTTTGTGCAAATTCTGGTGTTTATCTGAATGGTCACCAACTCTCTTGTATCCCAGCAAGAAAGGGAGAGAGGCTCAAACCAATGACCTTCCAGTTAGCAGGTGACCACAAACTGGCTAAGATGATGTGCTGAGTGCATTGCACACACAGGCACGTGTTGTCCCCACACACCACAACTCTTGGAGGGGCAAACCAGTTTATGCGCATCTCACAACTATCCACTTGCACAGGTGAGACTCACACCCAGGTCTACCTGAGTTCAGGCTCTTGGCCATCATCACTGGGCCTCACCTGGGGATGTGAGATCACTGGTGAGAACCCAGGAGGGACAGAAGTACAGTGACCTTCCAGGAACCTTCCCTTTGGTAGGTTTTGGGAACCTTGTTCCCTGACACAAAAAATTTCAGATCTCTCGTGAATAAAGATCACAGCATAAACCAACAAGATATGAAGCATTATGGGAAATCACGGGCGGAAGATGCGGATCTCTGCTCCCACAAAGATGTACAGCCTAGGACATCCTATAAAAGGTCACTGTGAGTTGGAACCGACTCCACGGCACACAACATATCTAAACGGGAGTGCTGTGGGTCTGTAGGATAGGCACTGGATTGCTAACCACAAGATAAGCAGTTCGAATCCACCAGCAGCTCTGCAGGAAAAAGATGAGGCTTTCTGCTCCTGTAAAGATTTACAGCCTTGGAAACCCTCTACTGGGTCACTATGAGTTAGAACTGACTTGGCACACAACAACAACAACAACAGGAAATTAGCAAAAGGCGGAGGCAGGTTTTAAAGGGGCATCAGACACAGTCCTGAGTGTAGGGACCCAGAGTCGGCAGCCCACCGCCCACCATGTCAGGGAACAGGCCCCAGTCTGTGGGCTTTCTTTTTCCCATTATTTGAGAAAACGTTACTTTCTGTGGGGATATGTAATTTGCCAGCCAGAAAAAGCATCTGACCTTCACGGGACTGTGGCTTTATACTCTTTGATTTCGTAATGTTCTTTGTCAGATATGGGGTGGATTACCCAGTGAGCAAGGCAAGCATGGGCTTACTTGTGCTTATTTACTTACCTATAGTGAATCGCACATGGCTTCTACCACATTGGCTGTTGTGCTTACTTATTATCTGTACTCAACAGTTCCATGTTTCACAAGATGTGTAACACTACAAATGGGTAAGTAAGCACAAACAAGTCGTGCTTACCTTGGTTAATGGGCCTTCCATCCCTGAGGGATTGTGAATTTGAAATGAGGTTTGCATTCTGTAGTCTGGTGCTGTGGGTGTGGGAGAGAGACAGATGTCAGAGGCAAAATCTTTGATGTGAAAAGCTGAAGCAGTTCACTACAGATGAGTAAGTAAGCACATGCATACCTGTGCTTAGCTTGCTTTTTGGGTAACCGCACACTGATGAGACCAGATGGAAGATGTCTCCTGCCTGCCTTTGCTTCCGTGAAGGAACAGATGAGCACAACCTTCCCCTCCCTGCCCCCAGCACACCATTTCCCCTGAGTTCACACCAACTACTAGGGACCCCATGCATGTCCCAAGAGAAGGGTTTCCAGGGCTGCTGTTTCAGAAGGAGATTGCCACGCCTTTCTTCCCATAATACCTCTGGACTCAAACCTCCTGTTTCAGTTAGCCAAGTGCAGGTTAACCACCCCCCCCCCCCCGCCCCCAGGGACTCCCAGTTATCGATAAAGGAAGATTTCCCCATAAGAACTCAAGACTTCCCCGTAAGAACTAACCTCAAGATCGGCAGTTCAAACCCTCCAGGCTCTGCACGGGAGAAAAATAAGGCTGCCTTCTCCTGTAAATTCTCACAGCCTCAGAAATCCGACAGAGGGTCGCTGTGAGTCACAGCCAACTGGCTGGCACCAGGTTGTGGGTTTTTTAGCAACCTCTCAGCATAACCTGCCAGTATTTACCATCATTTTAAGAGTAAGGGGCTAGAACCATCAGACAGAAGATTATTTGATTGACAGGCATTACAGAAAGCGAGTTGTGTTTCATTTGTGGCCCTGTGGGTTAATGCGCTGGAAGGCAAAGTCACTTTCAACCTCAAGATCTGGGCCTCAAACTCACCAGATGCACCTTGGAAACCCTATACAGGGTCACTGTGGGCTGGAACCGATTTGACGGCACTTAACAGCAACAACAGAGGTTACTTAGTGGCTTTGTGAAAAGTCTGAAACCTTATTTCAGGGAGTCCCCAGCAGTCACACTTAGATGAAACAACTCCCCTGGCAGGATGACAAAGAAGGTAGACACCCCGAGAGACAGAGGGGTCGTGTCCTGGGACCTATGAATAGTGACCACGTTACCTCTCAGGTTCCATGTCTTAAAGGGGCCCCAGAGACACGTAAGTGACCGTGTCAGG